TTGCGCAAATACGAAGAGGTAATTTTTGTCGATTTTGAAGAATGTTTCAGATTTGCGAGGTAAAAATGAGATAGAGGGGAAAATAATACATGAAAAATAAGTCGATCTTGAAAAATGTTTCAAACTGTGAGGGACTGAAAGAGGTAAAAGAGGGCCAGAGGGGAAAAATGAGCGAAATGAGTGCCATTATTTATAATTACTTAGGGAAAATGAGGGGGGTGAGGGAGGAGGATTTTTTTTTATTCGTAAAATAAAGTTTTCGATGTAATCCTACAGCAGATCGTGAAATAGCGGATGTTTCTGTTCTGGTACAACAAACTTTTCAGTCCACACTTGCCATATTCAATTGAGGAAAATGAGGAAATTTTTATTTTCCTCCATAAAATGAGTTATTTTAAAAAATATGAACAAAAAAAATTAACTTTTTTTTTAACTTGCAGGCCTGTCAGGAATTCACTCAACATGTTGTATCATTGTTACGTGAACAGAGTCGAACACGGCCAATTGCAAACAAAGAAATTGAACGTATGGTTGCAATCATACAGAAAAAATTCTCCGGAATACAGGTTTTTTTTTTCGAGTTAAAGTAGATTTTTTCCTAAACTTTGTATGGCTCTAAATTTAGGATCAAGTTTTGTAGTTCGGTTTCGTCGGTGACAAAAATGATTACTACATTATCTTACTAAAATCGTACTTGGCATATTTCATGCCACTAGCTTACTTCTAAAAAAATTCTCAAAAAATTCGGGAGTTTCGTTCTAACGGGTGATCGATGTTTGTTTTTCAACACGCTGCACACAATTTGGGGTTCTAATTATCTCCAAGAGTGAATTAGGTGAGGTTTCGGCTCTGGAATTACAAAAACGCCAGGAGTTCTAAATATAATAATCGTGATAAGGCAAAAATCAGTGCAGGATTACCTGGTCCGATCAGAGTAAAAGCGATTCTGACGTTCGTTTCGTCTTCCGGGGGGATTACAAGCACAATGATTAATGTAATAGAAGCATTTGGCAAAGATTTGGTTTTTTTTTTTTGAGATTTTTTTGCTGTTTTTGTGTTGATCATCTACCTGATCCTGAATTTTGCCTCTCTCTCGGGCCATTATGAACTACTTTACCGATTAATTATTTGTTTCATTTTTATGCGTAGTTGAAAAATGTTGAATTTTGGGGACTAATCTATTGGAAAAAATGTGAATTGGTAAATTTTTTTAGGTACAATTGAAGCAGTCAACTTGTGAAGCAGTAATGATTCTTCGTTCACGATTCCTCGATGCAAGGTAATTTTGCTCAAGCAGTTTACAGAGAATAAACGTGTATGATAATAACCGACATGTTAGGACGTAAGAGAATCGTTAATAGGTAGGAGCTGATGGGTCAGACAAGCAAAACTGCCCAGCAACAGGGCCTTGATTGCGTATCGCGAATGTAGAGGGGTCTCTGGTCTTACGACTTGAAGATGGCCTATGGCCAGCATTGGGGGGTATGAGAGAAGGAGCATCCAGCATTTTGTTAATTTGCTGGGAATGCTAACCGCTGCAGCTGGAAAAGTATTTGTAAAAGTTACTAGTTGCATAGTATTGGGATGTGAGCGTGTAAAATATTATCAAGACCTCGAATGTAGCGAGTCAGACTAGTGTGCATGCCATGATGCAATTGCTCCTTACGTAATTTTCAACAAAAAGCAATAAATCATTATGTGATATTGTATTAATTATGCGGAGTGCATGAATAACGATAAAATGCAGGACGTAAACTTTGAAGAAATGAATCAAAAGAGAGGGCACGTGATCCATGTGCATTTAAGATACGTTTTAGGGCTTTTACTGTTAAACAAGACGGACTGTGGTCTCACAACCGCAGCCTGCACACATATCAGTTGTAGTATGTTTACAGCTAAGGGATGAAACACAGATTGCATACTGACTGGTTTCTTCATTGCATGTCGCGAATTCACGGTTCGGGCTGCCCGTCTGTTTCAGAAATTACGGCTCGGCCTATTTATAACAGCTGCAATTCAATTTATTTTGACAGTTTTACCTCACACTTTGTCGTAGCCTGCTTCGGCCGTCCCATATTTTTATTTGCTTGGTCCATCCACTTTTAGGCCAACGATTTAGCTTTCTAGCGGGCACAATTTTTCAATGTTTGCGTCTTAAAAAATTTCCAGAACACTTATCATTCGTCCTTACTGGTCGTATATTTTAGCAAGGAAAGGGTGTTTTTGAGAGTTAGGGCCAGACGGCAGAGGAAGGGAAAAAGGGAAGGATGAAGAGAGTTTTTTCTTTTTTTTTTTTTTAATTCAAACTGAAATAAACTCTCCGCAAGGTGAAACGAATAAACTCTTTACTTTTAAAGCTTTCATGTTTTTCAGGCGAAAACGTCGGAACTTCAGTAAGCAAGCAACAGAAGTGTTAAACGAATATTTTTATTCACACCTGAGCAATCCTTACCCATCCGAGGAAGCAAAGGAAGAACTGGCGCGGCAATGCCAAATCACAGTTTCACAGGTTACTTTAAATACAGTAATAAATTTGCATAAAATTACGTAAATTTTGTAATATCTCTGTAATAAATTTACATAAAATCTCCTCAAATTAAAGGTGGCGGTGGATTTAGCGCAATGGCTGGTCTTGACGTTTGTTTCGCTTCGAAATTTTTTATTTTTTAACTCACTTGGTGCATTTTCATGCATTATTTTTAACTTTGGGATGAAATGCAATAGATACCGTTCGTTTTGTTTGCTAACTACTAAATTTAGGTCTCTAATTGGTTTGGTAACAAACGAATACGGTACAAGAAGAACATAGCGAAAGCGCAGGAAGAGGCCAACATGTACGCTGCAAAAAAAGCTGCCCATGGTAATAAATTTTTTTTTTTTTATTTTTTTGTAACCTTTGTTATCTCCGTTTGGTAGAAGAAACCATAGAAACGAATCCGAAATTATTAACACAGAGACTTCAGC